ACCACCCAGAGTAGACACTCCGTTTCCAGCTTCGGAGAGGGTCGACAGCAGTCACGGGCATCGCGGTGGATGATTCAAGATAATCAATGGCTGTCTTTTGGCGAGGATCCCATATGCCGATACTTCCATCATCGCTACCACTAATCACACAACTCCCGGCCACGCCGGCTGATATCCTCGCAAATTAACGATTTCAGTGTCATCCATATAGCGCCGTATGCGTGTGCCTGATTCCAGGTCCCAGCTCGCTAGGGTCATATCTGCGGAAGCCGAAAAAAGGGTATGTGAGTCCCGGGACCATTGAAGATCGAGAATGGCACCTTTATGGCCGGAAAGTATGCCGTAATTGTCGCAATTACCGTATGTTCGCCATAATACTGGTTAGGTTATCAGTTGTTAGAGGTGTTTGAGATGTACTCGCTTGGAAATAATGCGGGATGAAACGGAGGTCAAAGGGGAAAAGAACGCGACGGCGTACGTATAGATCGGTCCATTCCAGAAGAAGCTATATGTTGGCCGGTAGGATCAAATCGGGTAGAAAAGATTTCGCCTGTATGGCCTGTAAGCTCCATTATAGGAGCAGCGAGGCCGCTTGTCCGGGGTACCTTCGGTCCTTGTTAGAGATCGAACCAAGGTATGGACTGAAAATAATCAATTCTTTCCTACTTACAGACTGTATAAGAGCTTCATTCTTTCCGGTTCCACTGGATATAGTAACGGCGCTCCGGTTTAGATTGCTATCTGATCGTTGACGCTTGACAAGTTGTACAGATCCGAGGGATTCGTGCGCTGGTCTCTTTTCCGCAGACATCATGGCGGCCTAGACAGTTAAACAATATAGAAGTGTGTAGGCGGTATGTATCTATGTCAAGTCGATGTAGTGGGTGTGGGTGTCGGGTCGCTAGATGTTACTTGTGGTCGTGATTTTATTTTTTAGACGCGGTGAAATGGGAAACGCGGCTCGGCGGCTAACTCGTTAATTACTCGTTAGTAAAACTACCGCGCTTAGCTAAATAAGCAGCCCAAAATTGGAAATACCTATCATACAACTATCCACTAGCTTTTGTAAAAGCGCCACCCTATTATGAATGAGGTCTAAAGTCTTCCAGTTTAGAACATAAAAGGGTATAATAAGTGTGAGACTGGAGGCATTGGTCTGAGAGTCGAACAATGTCGAGCAAAGCAGCTCGGATTGGAGAAGAGTATAACTGCCTCCCCTTAGTACCCACAGCTAAAGACCTGGCGCAAACCCATGCTAACTTGAAATTTAGGATATGGAAGTACGCACTGCTCTGACCGTCTAACAGCTTTGGCTCTGTTCTAACCCGTGTAGAACTAAGGTTGATAAGGTCAACGCAGAGCTGGTAACGCTGACCTATGGGACTGTCGTTGCCCAGCTCTGCGCGGACTACGAAAGTGACTATCTGGAAGTCAACCGGCAGCTTGACAAGATGGGTTATAATATAGGCATGCGACTCATCGAGGACTTTTTGGCGCGGTCCGGGATGGGACGATGCACAAACTTCCGGGAGACTGCTGACATTATCTCAAAGGTGCGTGTATGCCCCTGTCCGACTACGGAATATAACATGGCCATCTAATATACTTATATACCCCGGGTATAGGTTGGATTCAAGGTGTTTCTCAACATTACGCCTACTGTGACCAACTGGACAAGCGATAACAAGCAGTTCTCGCTTGTGTTTGAGGAGAACCCACTGGCCGACTTTGTTGAGCTGCCTGACGATGGACGAGCGCAGGACGAGCTATGGTACTCCAATATCCTCTGTGGGGTGCTAAGGGGAGCACTTGAGATGGTGTGCTTACTCGACTGTGACTGATTTAGACGCGCACAAGCTAACTCGGCCTATAGGTGCAAGTTCAGGTTGAAGCGCATTTTGTTAGTGATATCCTTCGGGGCAATGACACTACAGAGATGCGAGTTACTCTCGTCCGCTACCTGGAGGACGAGCTGCCTCCAGAGGAGTGATTCTCGACGCTTTTGTTCTCTTTATCTCTGGCTCATTGGGCTATTGCACTTTTTCTTCTCATGGGTTGTCTTAGTTGTCTACTCTCATCCTGCCTAAGCTAGTGACATGCTTCCTAGTGCCGGAGTTGGTTCATGTAACTATCTACTGTCTAGAGTCTACGCTCTGAATTTTTTTTGGCCTTGCTGCCGCTGCAACTATCTTGGTCTCCTCCTGCTACTCCCTCATCGGCCGCTGTCGCTGTCCACTCCCGCCTCTCGCTGCGTCGTCAACCGGCCACTACCCCCTCCCCCCCTTTCGCTGAGGTGCAAATAGGTGCCCGATGGAGGCGGGGGTCAGGTGACCGGATAAAAGTTCATCCCGTGACCAAATCTGCGTCGGGCGCGCGTTCTGCCGGTCCCTAAACAGCCACCGCCCGCGAAAGATGCAAGTTCGAACTTCCCCAGCGAAAAACGAACTTCACTGACGAGACGCATATCGGTTTTTCTTCCCCCTGCTTGAGATCCAGCATCGACGACACGGCGGCCCCCACGAGAAGACACTGACGGAACCGCTGGTGGATTTGGTGCAAGAGGCTTCGTGGAGCGGCGTGCCTGTAATTACCCTTCGCGGACCTTTTCGCCCTTCGGGCCCCCCCCCCCCCCCCCCCCCCCAGCCGAACGACCAGCGATCGCCCAGGAGCCACTCTGGCGCCCGACGAGAAAAGCCCTTCCTCCCATCTCCCATCAAACAACCACTCTTCCATTCTTCTCATCCTTTGCTGCAGAGGATACAATTCTCTGCAAGGATAGGTTCGTTATCGCCACTTTTGAGGTCTGTGTCTGGGCAGGTGTGATTTTTCGTCCTCGAATGTGGTATGGTATTCAAAACTAACGCGCTTGAAAGAAACCAGCACAGGACTAGCGGCCTTGATTGTTCGCAAAATAACACAACTGCACACCGCAGGAAAGAATCTTTACTTCTTGAGCCTGCTGGATAGCCCATATATGAGACACATTTCCGACGAAATTGATCCTTCTGACGCAAAGACGGGCTTCGTCTTTTTCAATATTGACCCGACACTCAAACTCGACAGAGCGCCTTGAAAACGAAATCACTTCATCCTTGGAGAGCAGGTCCGATCGTCTTTGGGACGGCTGCACCTCTGCCTCCTGCTCACGATGAACCAGATGAACATGCAAAGCATGAACCCCAGTGTCGCTATGCCCGGTAACGCCGTACCCGTCGGTGTCCCGGGCGTAGGCGTTCCTGGGGGAGGTATGCCTATGGGAGGCATCCCAATGATGAACAGCGCATCAGGCTCTGCCCCTCGAAGTGAGCCGAATCAGAATTTACAGGATACTATGGCTACCCAACTCAACACCTATATCTACGACTACTTCCTCAAACGCGGATATCATGATTGTGCGCGTGCGCTCGTGCAGGACGAGAGCGTCACCCTAAACACCACTACTGCGCCTCACAAAGGCACACCACACCGCAGAGATGGAGAAGTCAACGGAGTCGAGTCCGAGGAAGGTAAAGAGGATATCAAGTCGCGCATCCCCGACGATTTGCCAAGACCAAACTTGGGTGATTCGCAACAAACCAGTTTCTTATTTGATTGGTTCAATATCTTTTGGGATGTCTTCTCCGCCCAGAGAAAGAAACCAAGGAGTAATGACGCCATGCAGTATTTACAGCATACTCAGGTGAGTATCGTCGATCTGCCACCAAATTGAGATGGACTTATTAATGTTGACCTCTGTTTTTCCTTATAGAACATGCTGCGATTGCGAGACCAACAGCAAAATCAACTCATTCGCCAGGGGCAGCTAATGCCTAACCAGTTTGCTGCCATGCGCGGAGTACGCGGTAATATGGTGCCAGCAAATCTCCAGAAATCTGTTCTCCAGAATCCCCAGAATATGTATGTTGTGGTAATATGCAAAAGCGCAAGCAGAATACTGTAACTAACTGTACCAGGACTCCGCAACAAATCGCTCAATTGCGAAACCAGCAGGCTCAGATGATGCACCACCAGATGCAGCGCGAACACTCTGACATGGAGATGAATGGCCACCGCCCCCAATCCCCTTCTTCTGTGGAAAACGCCCCATCTCCCTCCAAGCGCCAGCGCATTGACGGACCCCAAGTTAACGGCGCGCAGATGACCCCCAACGGTCGCGCACAACCTCAGGGTATGCCGGGCCAGCAGAACCAACAGCAGGCCAACTCTCTTCTGATGCAGCATGGCATCAATCCACGAAACCTCACTGCTGCACAACTCCAGTCTTTCCAGTCCCAGAACCCAAGTGTTCAAGCAAAGTCGATTCAGGTCTATAATCAAAATCTAATTCACCATACTCGATCCGCAATGAACAATCAGGGCATTCCTAATGGCCTAATCAACCCAGGAGTCATGCCCAACCAACCAGACATGATGCAACCCATGCATGACAACCAAGGAATGATGCCGCAAGACTACTATAGTAACGGCCAGATGGCCGCCCAAATGCGTCAAGGTGGTATGCCGACTCCTGGGGCGCAGAATGGAAACCACGCTCTCCAAGATTATCAGATGCAACTCATGTTGCTTGAGCAGCAGAATAAGAAACGTCTTTTGATCGCCCGCCAGGAGCAAGACAGCATGGCTCGTGATGGCCAACCACAACCAGGGCCAGCCCAACCCGGACAGCCAGGTGCTGGACAGCAGCAGCAGCAGCAGCAGCCAGGCCAAGGGATGCATAACAGTCTCCCTCCTGGAACGTCTCCTCAAGGAAGCCGTGCCGGTGCCTCACCAAACCCCAGCGAACAGATGAAGCGCGGGACACCCAAGATGCCCCAGACTGGCCTCCCTGGTTCTCCCAACGTTGGTGACGCTATGCAAACAGGCCGTGGCTCGCCAGCCTCTATGAACTTTGGCAATCAAATTCCCCAAGATATGGGTGGTGCGGCATTCTTCAACACCATGAAGAATATGCAGGAAGCTGGTGGTGTCGTTGGTCCTAACGGCATGCGCCCACCTAGCTCCAATCCAGCCTACTCTGGCGCACAAATGACGCAGCCTATGGATGCCATGGCACGTCAGCAACAGGCACAGGCCCAGGCACAAGCCCAAGCTGGGGCTCGCATGCCAAGTGGTAATTGGCAACAACCACAGCCTCCTCAGAGTCAACCAATGATCCCACCACAGCAGCAGCAACAGCCGCAGCAACAGCAACAACAGCCGCAGCCGCAGCAGCAAGGCCAGCCTGGGCAGCCTGTCGGAACCCCTCAAGAGCGAAATGCTATGCCCCCACCGCAGGCACCACCTGTAGCTACGGCTCCAAATAATGGGCGACAGTCACCGCAGCCTGGTAGCGCGGCTCCTCCCACACCGCAGCAGAGCTCAAAGCCGGCGCCGAAGAAGAAGGACACGAAGGATAATAATCGAAAGGTATGTCTTTATTTCACTACATCCATATCCAAGTGCAAATGCTGACCCATTATAGCGCCCCGCCAAGCGCGTTCCGACCACCAATGCGCCTTCAGCAGCAGCCACAGCTTCAGAGTCCGAACCTCCACCAACTCCAACTCCTTCTACCCCTATCACCCCTGTCCATCCAAGCTCGTTCAACAAGGCCGCTCCGGCAAACAATGCTCAACCAACGTCTGCGCCCGCTACACAACCCCAGGCTGTGGGTCAACCACCACCCCCGCCACAACCGCCACAACAGCAGCAACAACAGCAGCCCCAACAACAACAGCAGCAGCAGCAGCAGCAGCAGCAGCAGCAAATGTTGTCCATGCAGCCGGCCCAGGGTCAACCACCTGCTGCGGCACAACCAGGTCAGGCACAGGGACAAGTAGACCCATCACAGCCATTTGGGGATATGAGTTTAACAGACGTATGCATCCTTCCATCTCCTATACAAGTAACCGTCCAGCTAATAATTGGTGTTTATAGAATCAAAGCTTCAACCTGGATTTCAGCTCTCTCGACAACCCAGATATTCTCGAAAATTTCGACTTCGACACTTTCCTCAACACAGACGACCAATCGGCATTCAACTTCGATCCTAATACGCCATACCTTGATGGTGTGGAGGCTGGTACAGGAGAGAGGATGTAATTCAACTCTACAATACCCCACTCCCGCCCTCGATGAGGTGTACGAGCTGACTCACTTTGCTATTTTCTCTTTAACGCCATTTACCGTGCTGTCTTTTCTTGCTTTCTCTTTTTCTTTCCTGGTTGATGTCCTCTCCTTCCTCTGCTCTGCTTACATTTCCTTTTACTCTGCCCATATCATTACTGTTTCTGATAGTCGGTGTATGCTTCGGTTGCCGTGCTTCTCCATCTCTATTTCTCTCTCCTGCGCCGATATCTGGTTGTCCCTTCCACTCTATTCCCTCTTCCTCGTCTTGTTTCTTCCCGTAATATCATGTTTCCTATAACTTATACCTTATACCTCTCGTTTGGCTTTTTACTTTGATACCTCTGCCTATCGACTCATTAATACCTCTTACATACCTCCCTGTTCCGTCTTCTGTTTTGACTTGCTCGACAGGAAAGAATAGCAAATACACAAAATGACAGGTTGGAGCGAAAGTAGGTATGGATCGATCATCAGCTTCAACTAGTTTATTACGCCATCTCGCCAGCAATGAGACGAGGGGGGAAAAGGTGGAAGGCAAGCAAAAAAGGAAGTGGGTGTTTTTGGAAACGTTATCTTCTTCCTTTTCTCTCCTTTTCCAAATATAAAACCGAAAAGGAGCTTTTCAATCTCTCCCAATTCTCCCAACAGCCCCGTTTTACCCTTTTACCCTTATTTATCGTCTACTTGTTTCCAACTTCACCTTTTTTTCATGTCACTCTCAAGACATCGATGTCTTTGTTTTTCCCATTACATTGCGTTGCTTGCTCAACTTAACCGCAGCTTAAGACTTTGGGCTTGCTTCCTTCTGTGCTTCTACTTTTCTTTCCTCACTTTTCCACCTTGTCTATTGGCTGGCTTTCTATCTCATACCCAGTCCTGCCATATTATTGTTGTTGCTTAATGCTTGCTCGTTTTCAACCCTTGTCCGTGTTTTTCTCTGCCTTATCGAGAGCTGTAATTGCATCCCTTGGTTGATTTGATATTTACCTTCCCTCGACTAGACTTCCGCCACTTGTCGTGTGCGTATCTTATTACCATCCAGCCTCTTCCCCTTCCCTCTAGTGTTTCTCTTTTTTTTTTTTTCTGTCTCTGCTTTTGATCATCGTTGATATCTAATGAAAATTTCCTATTTGTCCATCCGCCTGGATATTCCAACCTCCGCTGCTCACATCGCCGCATGCGTTCTGTACTGCATTATACTTCTATCTTATTCAATCTATCTCATTTCTACTGTTAAACGGTTAATTTGACTACACTATATCTCCTGTCGTTGACCCTTTTACCCAACTCTTTCCCTCCCAAGCTGTCAGGCCAGGCTCGTTTCAACTTCCTCTGCTCTGAAGATATAACGCAACCTATTGAATGCCAAAGGCAAGACAATCCCTGGGGTATATATATCGGTGTTCACGGTCTACCGGAACGCTTTCGCCAAACTCCGTCTGATTGACACTGCTCTTGATCTCTTAGTTTACCTATTGTACTCATGGTAATCTTATTTGGTTTGACATTTCTTCGTCGAATTTGCTGTTTCCCTTGAATTGGCCGGTGCTGTTGGATGAGGCCTACGAGTCGGTGGTGTTGGCAAGACCCTCCATGCACTGTCTAAGTAGTGTTTTACCTCCACATTGGTTACCTTACAATATACGGTGTTAGCTAGCTGTCTCTTATAGCAGTTTCTATTCAATCCCTAAGATATTCTATCTTGAAAAGAGGCCACTCCTTTTCTGAACGGTACTACGACGGCCAGCATCTCCAATGGATTGCTGAAATCTGATTACCTCTATGGATATGCCGCTCGTAACGGCAGAATTTGTGGACGATGGATGGCAGGTTACCATTCTATCCGTATTATGAAGGGGTAAAAGAGATTTTTGTAACGCCAGTTGATTCCTTCGGTTTCATGTCAACTCAATATCTCTGCCAATTAAACATGTCCACATATTTATCTCTTTCGCACTGTGTCACCTTTGCCCGAACATGTCACATTGGCAACATCATGAATATTTGAAGAAGGAATGTAGAGAAGAGAAGGCGACAACAAAAGATGAGGAGACTTAATCCCAAAGGATGGCCATATTGAAGCCTGCTTGGCCAATGCTTTAAGGAAAAGTAACTATTGCATGGACAAATCAGAAGTTCGGTAGAAATCCCATCCCCAAGGCATGGCAACTACGCAATTAGAGATAGAAGCCCGTTTTATCCGACAATGCTGCCTCTTCAATCCAGTTGCCACCTCGCAGATGATTGACACCCATCATGACTTCCATAAGGAAGGCAACCGTGTTTTGATGGCATAAAAGCTCAGCTTCTGGCTTGCTCTGGTGTTTTGCGAAACCAATGCGTCTGAAGTTACGAAGAGCGGCATCGTTATGGAAAAAGGCATCAACTTCAAAGTGCATGGGGCTTCCTTTGACGTTAAATACCTTTACTGGAAAATCAGGTGCGTGAATAGACAAGCGATCACAGATGCCTAAGTAGTAGAGTAGAGCATTAGCCGCCTGAATATCTTTGAGGTGAATAATATAGAGGAACCACAAGTGCTAGGCATACTCTTAACGCGAAGAAGGTCACTTCCGTAGGACTTGAGCTTCATCCTAAATTCACTGGCAGTGCATGGATCCTTCCTACACGTTGAACGACTGCCCGACATGCGGCACTGAAAGAAAATGGCCTGGGCAAACTCTGCTGCATCGGGAACTCCAGGGTTAGTTGATGGTTTCTGAGCCATCAAGGAAGGATTGAAAAAGGTAGGTGTCGCAAGTTTGCCCGTGGATTTCTTGTTCGTGGTGTCCTCAACAGCCTTGACCTTAACTGAATTGGCTCCAGTGGCATTCCCAGCAGTTGGAACCTGTGGATACTGGCGTTCACTTCCCTTTATCTTCTTGATGGCATTGGTAACCTCAACCAAACACGCTCCTTTTCCACGGCCCCTTCCACCTTTTCTACGTGTCCTCTTTGTGATGACACTAGTGCCGGCAGAGGGGACAAATGGAAATTTCGTCTACACGAATTATTAGCACTCATATCGTCTGTATACCCATGGAGGCAGATAAGCGTCGAATTAGCATATCGAAAATGCAAGTTCTGCCACTTACCAAAGCCACTGTAACTGGTTCCGGTTTATTTGGAAGATTGGGTGTATCACCAACCACCTTTAGCAGGGCTCCAGACTTGGCTACCCCATGCATAAGCTCTCCATTTGCTCCACTGGCAACGAGTAAATAGTGCAATGCTCTGTGGGCGCACCCAATAATGGCTTCGTCAATAGATGAATAGCATTTCTCAACGCCAAAGAAAGAAAGGCCATCAACCTCAACCTCGTTACGGTATCCCTCAAAATTGGAATACTGCGTGTACAATGGGCCTGGTATACCTCTTTGCTGGCAGTACACTGTAATAAAATGGTGTGACCGTTAGCTATAACTCCTGATATGAATCGCTACAACTACAACTTACATGCCAACAATGAATTCCAGCGGAGTCGGTTAGGCGAAACACCAAGCTCAGGACTTTCAGGAACCACCCAGAGTGGCATAAAAGCCTTCAAGATTGCCAAGCCATCACGACACGCATCTGCCGTGGCGGCAGCCTTAGTTGAGTAAATTTGCAACTTAGAGACCTCATGGTCTCCAAATCTGAGTCTAACCACCCATTTACTGTCAAAATATTGCAGGAACTCAAAGGATGGGGTTAGATGTTCCTGAATACAAATGACACCAAAATAGAACATTGCGTCCTTATCTTCCAACTTGGCAGTGTTGACATCACCTAGAACCTTCGTTGGGCCAAGTTCTCTAGGTGTAATAGCCGCACGGCCTGCTGGCATAGAGGTCTGGCTGAGAACAGTTGTCCCTGGTGCATTGGAAAGCATATGCCTGGTTCTTTCTGTTTGGAAAGACGTAGAACTTGCAAAGGAGGGGGCCATTCCTTGGTTATTAGAGACTAGCAGGCTTGGTGTAGGAGGAGAATTCACTGTTTGGTTAAGGAAACTTAGCCCATAACCCCAAGGGGCCGGTGGGCAAGAGAATCTAGAAACACCGGTAATACCTGAAGCTGCATTTCCTTGTCCGAACAACGCAGGGAATGTGCCATCCGAGTGCGATGGTGAAGCCATGGAGCCACATAGGGCAGAAGGCTGCCCAAACGTGGGTTTGTGACACTGATTGGTAACTGCCGAAGGTAGCATTGATGATGGCGTATCCAAGGAGCATGGAACTGCAGGAAGGGTGACAGGCAAGACAGGAGACTTGCCAGTTGACGGAACGGAAACCACGCCATCAAGCGTGCCAGTGCTCCGGCCAACAGCCTGAGAATCGGCAGACGACGCGTTGATGGCACTGGTATCAACTGTGTTCGCGTCTGGGGCCTCGACACTTGGATACACCATCATCGACAGCGGCGTAGACATGGCCAAATCTGGCAAACATGCTGCCGTGACAGTTGTCACCTCTGCATCAATAACAGGCGCGTTATCCGCATCGGCAACTCCTGGCGCCGGCTGTTGGGTCAGTGCAGCATCAGTAGCAGCAGGAAGGGGACCCAAAGCGTGCGTCGCTGTTGATTTCGCCCGGAACGGCGTCACGAGCTCTTCAATCAAGCTCTTAAGATCATCTGGTCCAATTGTGCTAGGTGGATGGCGGTGCATAGTGCCGTCGTCTGAAGGAGAGAAGATTTGTAAATATCCAGCGTTAGATGGAGGGGCTAGAGACTTTATACCTTCACTGACTGCGACATCCAAGCTATCAGAGTCACTGATGCTGATGTATTCACGGGGACTGTCATTTGTCTCGGATGGAGGCGACATATCTGGACTTGTGTAGGGGTTGGAGGTGACAGGTTGTTGAGTGACGAGGAGCAGAGGAGATTATGAGGAAAAGAGGATGAAGTGCTGCGTTGTTTGCATATAAGGAAAGCATGAAGGGAGGTTGCCAGGGCAGCGAAGAAAGGTACGCCAAAACAACGGACTACCTAGGAGAGTAAAATTTCCTTGCTAGGGATTCTCCGTTGAGTATTTGATTGACTGCTTCTTCAGATGCTTTCAATGTCTTCTTTTAATATGCTCAATATCTGCGTTGTAGCTTGCTATAGTTACAAGAACGATATCGGCCTGGGTATATCCCCCTCATCCAACATGAATCCCATGTCACTCCCAAAATTACGGGATATTGAATGCGGTAAGGTGAATCATGGAAGATAAGAGCTCCATGATAGCAAAGTTCATGGAGTTCTCCGGTCTTCACTCTGTATATCAAGTGACCGTGGGAAATCGTAGGCAATAGGATATCAGAACCATAGGCCAACGCAGAGAATGATCTAATTTATTCTCCCAATACCCACGGATTGACCTTGTATTATACAATACAATGCAACTAGGCTTAGATAGAATGGCTTCACCCTTGAAAAACCGTCTATTAAATGTGCTTTTTTTCCACTGTGGTTGACGTTAAAACAAGGGAAAGACGGAGTCGTTCATTGTGCTTACATAAGCGAAATACCTGCATTGGTTGGACTGTTGATAAAGATGCGAGTACAAAAATGTTTCTTGTAGCAAGTAATTAAGCCATAGTGCGTGTCTGATACCCATGAGCCCTTCGTTCACTCTGTCTGGCCGGACATACATGATGCTATTCCAGTTCAACCTCAGAAAGGAGGGCATCTGTTTTGGCTGCTGCCGACAGGAAATCATCGAACTCAGCCTGCAGCTGCTCATCTCGTTTACGACGAGATATCTTCTTTGATGAAGAGGGAGACACGGCCTCGACCACTCCTCGCGAATGAGTTGAGCTTATAGACCTTTTTCTCTTGCTTTCCGCCGAAGTTACTGCTGCTTCGATGGTCAGGGATGCCTTTCGTGAGCTATGAGCTGGAGAGGCATCACCACTGCTGTTTTCTTTATCGTCTTCGTAGACGCTAAGGCTTCCTTCCTTCCGGCCTCTGATGTTAGGACTGGGGCTAAGGAGGCCAGTCTGGGATTGAGGTGGCATTTCGTTAAGCGAGTTTCTAGAGCGAAGACTGGATCCCGACCTTACTCTCCTGTCTTCCCCAGGTTGCGAAAGCTCCCTGAGAGCACTGGGCTGGCTCTTGTTAACAGTGGCGCCTGGAGCGTCCTTCACTGCTGAAGGCGCTTTGGTTGCTGCTTTCCCTGCTACCGGGGTGTTCATTGGAGGACTGGTACCTCCTGTTGCCTTACTTGGACTCATGGCTTTGATTAGCTGATTATACTGCTCATCGTCCATAGGAGCTATCTGGGCCGGTTCTCTGTTACGTGAAAAATTCAGACCAGCAGTATTAGAAATCACACGACTGCTCGAGGAGCTCGATGCGATATAGTCTGGCATCGAGATGTCATCCAGTGTTGAATGGCGGCGCTTGATAGGCCATGGTGGCCACGGGTTCTTTGAAGGGTCGACGAAGGGATCTGAAACTTGAGGTGGTGGTGCAATCCATGGCCCATCTCGGTCTAGCCACGGGTTGTTACTAAACTGTGGTGGAACGGGATTAGGTTGCATTCGATAGGGGAGGGTAGAGAAACCAGCTCCAACCTGAACACCCTGGTTGTTGAACTGCCGGATATCATGGCGCGTTGGAGAGTGTGAATGAGCATCCTCATCCTTTTCAACACTGTAAAGAGGTCCAAGAGAGTGTTTGACAAAATGTCGAGAGCCTGGTACCAGTTGCTGCCACATCCCTGGGTTTGGCCAGGCAATGCCAGATGACTCTAGTACGCCTATGAGACCGCACTTATGTTAGACATCTGGCTCTCTTTTCCCTCCCACTTTCTACTTTCTTGTTTCTCAGCTTACCGAGGGGAGCGTGCTGGTAAGAAAAAGCGATGAGATCTCTCACTCTCTCAAAGGGCGGGTTACGAAGCGGCCGAGTGAAGCCCTCTGATATGACAACACGAATTCGACCGTACATGTCGCCAGCATCCCAGTGGGCTTGATGAAGCAACTCTTCATGAAACATTGGAAACCGCAGACTATCCTGGTTTCCATTTCTGTCGAGTTCTGCGATAGTTAATAAATACCAGACACAGCTCACCTAGGACACACTCACGAGAACTCAGATCTACGTATACCCTCATATTAGACACTTTTCCGATAAGAACTCGGCGCTACTACTAAAAGCTAAACTTACCAATGACATGAGGCCAAAGGGTTTGCTGGTTGAACAGACTTGCCCTATTCAATCGACGGTTAGTAATAAAGTGAGAACAGAGAGGACTATCGGAGGCCATTCAGCTGCCACGTACGAAGCACAGATACCATCGATGAATATTCTGACTTCAAACATCACCGAATCTTCCGGTTGCATCAGGCCTTCCATGATCCGGGTTGGACGAGGCCTATTCCAGCTATGAACAGATACCCTAAATGGAGTATCTCGGGGCAAACTTGGTAGAAAACAGGTCAGCACGGGTAGCTGTCCCGGATTTCCCTGAACACCACTCTGGCTATAGTATGGACCAGGATTTAGCACGGCTTGGGCTTGGAGATACGGCGATTCTAGAACCAGTTCATCCTTGATGATTAGCAGATGGCTTGTGTGCGAGTTAATAGCAGATGTGTTGACCTACCGTGATCCCTGGTAACGAAGCAATTGGTCTTGAACTCCTGTAGAGGCACCTTTGACCCCTCAGGGAACAGCAAAACGTCCCAGTTCTCGAATCTCATAGTGAACTAGCTGTGGATATAACTATGTATAAAGGAAGAAGTAGAAGAGAGAAAAAAGCAAGACACAGTACTGGGTAGGTATTGAGTCAGGACGAGTGACAAACAACGACCAGGGTCATTCATGCATTCATTCATTAAACAGGCGAGCTTCCCGTAACGATAGAGGATGACAGTGAAAGGAAGAAGATGTTGATGCTGGTGCCGGTGGTGAAGACGAGGAGAAGACGTCGTCTCGCCATCGCTGTGGCCATGTTGTGTTTTCTGCCGGGCAGCGTAGAAGGTGCGGTGAGTCTTTTGTTTTCCTTCCCATTTCAAGATATCAAAACCCCGAGGAAAGAATTATCCAATACGGAAGGTGACTTTAAGTAAGTATCTTTGGAGCTACGATCTCTGGTCAATTATAGAGGCACTCGTTGCATACATAGATAGGTCTTATCAAAATTGGAAAAAACCACGCTCGATCTCGACCTCTGGTCTGATTCGTAAATCGAGTGAGTTATATGCAAAATATTGTGGTTTTGGTTCCATTTATAAAAGATCTCTATATTCATTCGAAAGTATCCTCGTAAACGTTATCAAATGGGTAACTATGCAAGTAATTGGCACGAGCATTACTCCGTATGGCGATTGTTTTTGACACCCAATGGGTAGTTATCAAAACAGTTCCGAAGACGATTAACAATAACACCTGGAATATCACTCATTCCGGCCATGCAGATACAGATCTAGCATCTAGGCACAGTATTCGGTATGGTGACTAGATAATTGAATTCCAACAAGCTATATACCTATTATGTTTGCTGCAAAAAAACCTCGATAGTGAATACCTGTGCCAACTCGTCAGCTGCGATGAATGACACTATCTTTGCCTCAACAAGCAGCAAGTTGCCGAACAGCCTAACATCCGCCCGCATGGCTTAGTTGGTAAAGCGCATCACTAGTAATGATGAGATCCCCGGTTCGAATCCGTGTGTGGGCATTTGCTTTTCCTTCTTTTTTTACTCATATTTACCTTTGATGAACTCAACCCACCCTTTGCTCCCCTTTTTGTCCCCGTTTTTTATTTTTGTTTTCTTTTGTCGCGTATTGTGCGCATTTTCTCGAACAGTTTAACTAATACCAGCTTATCCCAAACAGACAAGCAGTATGCCCTGCGTAACTTGGTAAAAATACCGCTTAATAAACCAATAAGCAGGGCCTGAGCTTATATAAAATACGCCATGCCCTGAGCTTAAACACGCCAAAAGCTCACTTTTATCTCTACCAAGCAAGTAACTTAAAACAGAATCCCACAATCAGCCCGCATGGCTTAGTTGGTAAAGCGCATCACTAGTAATTCACTCCCGGCCCAGGAGAGTCGCGATGATGAGATCCCCGGTTCGAATCCGTGTGTGGGCATAGTTTTTTTTGTCCTTTCTTTGTGGGGCATCTCTTCTTCTCTGTTTTGTTGGCTTTTGGGTCGTTGTGTCTCTGCTTGCGGATGAAGAATGAGTAGACTAACTAGCTAGTCAACTAGCAAGCAGCGGCGGCGGCGGCTGAGCGAGGGTGAGACAAGCGTCTGCTGTCGGTGAGGGATTTTGATGCTGGCCAGTTAGGTGGCAGTTGACGAGTACCTAGCTGGGGCTGAAGTCAAGTATGAATTATAATATGCGAGTAAGGAAGGCAACCTGCATGGAATGTATGGCATGCATGTTCTAGAAGAGCTTAGGGCATGCATCCGTCCAGGCACGACTCTATATTGACGTCAGCCCACCACCGATGTAGATAATGGTATATCAGCAGCACGGCGGTATGGAGTCAATGTGAATTAATAAATGTGCTCCGGGGAACAGTTATCTGTCTTACCGTCTAAAAGCAGCCGAAGCAGCCGCAGCTACCCTACTTACTGTATATCCATCCGCGTCAAGCTGGCAGGCAATATTCTCCAAGAACACCGACTAAACAAGACGAGATAGAATGAAGCGAAACGGCAAAAGGAGGAAGACGTACAAGTACAAGGTACACGGCACACGACGGCACACGCACGGCTAGAACTACAGTACAGTACAAGATACAATGCAGGAGAAAGAGAAGAGAAGAGAAGAGAAGAGCGATATCAAGAAAGGACGAATGGAATGACTATGGCAAAGCAGAGCGAACAAAGAACGAAGATACAAGCAGGCAGGAAATTAAAATAACTAGATAGACAGACAAAGCAAAACACGCAGATTTCATCTTTCTCGTCTCGTATCTTTTGCTCGTGGGATCGTTTGCTGCGTGAGCACAGGGCATATATGGGCATGGGCAGGGCGTAGAATAGTTTTTTGAAAAAAAAAAAAAAAAGAAAGAAAAGAAAAAAAGAAAAGAAAAGGAGGGCAAAGGCACAAAGGAGAAACGGGGGTGGAAAACGGGAGAGCAATAACGGGAAGAACGAAAGGAAGTACGAGTACATGGCATAGTCAGTTAATGCAACACGCGCGCAAGGTTTGGGTGGGAGTCGAGATCGAGCATCATCATCAATCGGTATCGGGTACAATTATCTGTCCAAGATGGCAGAGAAGAAGTCAAAGGAGAGGAAATGGCAAAAAGAGAAAAAAAGAAAAGGACAGGGCATGACATGACGATGTTGTACATGTTGGTCAATAAACCTGGGACAGGAAGCAGTGAAGTGATGGATCTAGAAGGGGAGACAGGCGGGTAGAGAGGTGTATGTCAAAACCGGAGGGAATGAATGGGATTATTA